CTCTCTGGGACCTGCACCTCATAGGGAGTGTTCACAAATTCAGGAGCATTGTCATTGATGTCCAGGATCAGGATTCGAACCATGGTTGTACCTGACCTAGGAGGAGACCCTCCATCCACTGCCGTGAGGGTTAAGCTCAGTTCTTCCTGCTCCTCTCTGTCCAGGGCTCTGTCCTGCACCAACTCTGGGTATTTCTTTCCTTCACTGTTATTTCGAGTGAGGACATGAAAATGAGAGTTGGGGCTGACTGTGTACTGTTGAAGCCCGTTGCTCCCCACATCCAAATCCTGGGCTAATTTCATTGAAAACCGTGCTCCTGGCTGGCTGTTTTCCGGTATTTTCAAGAGCAATTTTCCATCTTTGAATTCTGGTGAATGATCATTTATGTCCTGGATCAATAATTCTCCTTGAAAATATTGCACTGGCTTTTCAAGAGACACCTGGAAATGCAGCACACAAGGGTCCACAGAGCCACACAGCTCTTCCCGGTCTAGTTTTTCCCTCAGAAGCAAATCCCCAGTCTCAGGATCCAGCAGCAACCGCTGCTTGAAATCATCAGACACCACCCTTGCAGACCTGACAGCCAGCTCCCCAGATCCCAGTTCCAGATCCTTGGCCAGATGGGCTACAAAGGAGCCACTTTCTGTTTCCTCCAAGACAGAGTACCGAATTGTCGCCTCACTGCAAACTTGAACCAATACCATCATAAAAATAAAAGCCATTACTTGCCTGTTGGGGCGAATTCTCTCCAGCTTCTCCATGATGGGGCAGTGAGTGCTTGCATCCAATCCTTTAGCAGTCTCCAAACGCTTTGAAACACTGAACTCTAATTTTTTTTCTTTAGAGGAATCTTCACAACGTTGCTCTTAATCTTACATTAATCCATTATATCCTTGCCCAAAGCCCTCCATAGCTCCGTAGTGCTGGCAAAGCTCTTTTGTGCCTGGGTCTTTTGTTTTGTATTGCAAGGAGCAATTCCGGGTATTTTCGTGCTTATTAATCACAACCTTAGCCTGCAGCGCCACCCTGTGTCTTCTTGGGGAAACTGTTGTAGTTCTCGTTGTAAGCCAAAATACCTTCATGTCCAAAAAACACCTTTTTTATTTTCCAAATTAATGTCACATTTAAAATGTATGTAGCTTTTTCTTTGCCAACGTTGTTATTGCCTTATATCACATAATTGGTAAGGTCACCCACTACCATTTATACGAAGAATCATTAACACAAACTAGAAGACAGCTTGTCTTCCCACATATACTTTTAAGTTTTTAAAAATCAGGTAGGTAAAACAGAAAATCATATTTCTACAAGTTATTTCTCACTGTCCTAAAAAAAAAAGCAAAGTTACATGTTTAATAGCAACAGTTTGTATCGTTAGTGTACGTTACTACAAAGGGAGTTACCTTTTGAAATACACCAATGCACAGATACTGCTGCATAGATCAGATTAATCAGCTGGCCACCCGAGTGACATATCTGCAAACAGAATACTGCACACTACGGAAGGCAAACTGAAACGAAAATTCAATTAGGGAAGAATTGCCTTTGAAGGATCAAGTTAATTTTATGTTTTAAATAGAGTCTAAATATAGCAACTGCTCATTCAGAACAGGAATTTTAGGTTTTATGTTACTGTTGTTGAATATTGTCAAAATTGTGCATTTATTGCCTGAAGTCAGTATTTGTGTGTGTGTGTGTGTGTGTGTGTGTGTGTGTTTTGTTTTGATACAGGGTTTCTTCATGTAGCCCTAGCTGTCCTGGAACTCACTATATAGACTAGGAAAGCTTCTAACACACAAAGATCCACTTTTATCTGCCTCCTGAATATTGGGATTAAAAGCATGTGCTACCCACAGCTCTCCATGTTGTTTTCACTCATCAATTACTTTATAAAAATAGTTTCACAGGTTCACATGTCTAACACCTTAAAAGACACCATAATAGCTGTGAAGAAGATGACATTTTCTGAAAATTTGGCTTCATAAAGCAAATGCAGAATCGTAAGCCCCAAGGTGGGTTGGACCTAGGTCAAACACATTTTTAGAATTTGAATAGAACTTCTAAACTTCTACCGATGTTTGACAAGGTTGAACCAGCCTTCTTTTCTTTTTCTTCTTTCTTTATTTTTCTTTTTTCTTCTCTCTGTCTTTCTCTCTCTTTCCCCTTCTTAACACCCAAACTTCAGTTTCTCCTCCTATTTCTCCCAGTCCCCCACCTCTGCTCCCATCTACTACTCCCATTTCTCTTCAGAAAAGGGCTGGCATTCCATGGATATCAACAAAGTTGATATCTTATCAAAGTTGGAGTAAGACTAGACACCTCCCTTAGTATTGACAATGGGTGCGTGAGACAACCTTCTTAATTAAGACTTAGATCCACTAAAACCTGAGTACAAATTACCATGAGACCTCCAATCTCTCTTTTAAAAACAATTAAAGCCAGGAGAGTATGAAGGAACTTCCAAACGATGGTAATTAACTAAAAACATCATGACTGAGGCCATAAAAAAGGACTAGACAGGTTCAATGTTTGTTCTCTCCCCTAGGACACAGAGATTCATAACTACACTGAAAGACTGCCAGTGAAAGAGAAATCAAAAGTAAGAAACAGCAATTGTGAAGTAAGCACGAGTTGCTATGACAATATGCCAAGTAGAAATGTTTAAAGGAGAAAAGAAAAGAAGAAGAAGAAGAAGAAGAAGAAGAAGAAGAAGAAGAAGAAGAA